GTGGTTGCCCCCTGCCCGAGCCCTGACCAGGGCCCGGCAGGGGAGGAGCCTGCAGCCGAGGTATGACCCCGGGACCTTCGGTCGGCAGGCTGGCGCTCTATCCACTGAGCCACACCGGCTAGGGCCAGGCCCCTTTCTCTAGCAGTAGCTTCCGCCTTCAGCAGTAAACAGCATGGCTCTCATGACCACAACACGTTCACTGGTTTGCTCAGGCCCAGCACACACAGTGCTCTCGGGGTTGCTAGCCACGCCCGTGAGACACCACGCTGCCAACCAGAGCACGGTATTTGCGTACAGTTAGTTCTTCTGTTAGCGTTGAAGTGCACGGCCCGTACACGATTTCCCGAGTTCCTCAGCGGGCTCTTTCCTTCCGGGCGGTGGTTACTTCCTTCTAATCGGGTTCATTGGCTGCTGTTGGCACTTCCTGTTAGGTTTCCTCCACATCTGGGTTGATTTTAAATATTCATATTTCCTTTTTTTGGCGGGGGGCGGGCGGGCAACATGCACCTGCGAAGCGCCGCCTTCCCTCTTCTTCCACGAATCGCACCGACTCCCGCGGGAACCAGACCCACCGGCCTCTGGTCCGTGCCTCCTGCTTCCTTCACCCCATGAGCAGGTCGGGGGACACTTGCCTGTGTCCCTCCCGCAGGCCCCTCGCTAACCCGCGTGCCATGTGTGCCCACGGGGAAAGCAAACCCCGGCAGCCCCAAGCCGGTAGCCTCCCCCCCAGTCCTTCCTGCTCCAGCCCAGGCAGCCGGGCCTCCTGCTTTCCTAGCCTCCACTGGTTCGGGCTCTCCTGGAACTTCGCGTCCAGGAATAATGAACGGTTTTGAAATACGCCCACGAGGGTGCGGATCGCAGAGCGTTCCTTCCGTTGTCCGTGGCGTCCTGTTGTATGAACGGCGCCATCCGACTCCGAAAGGCAGGGATGCGAAGGCGCGATTTTCGGCTCCTGTGGCCCTTTTTCCGTGGGAGGCTTCTCGGTGTTACGATGGCCGTGCCGCGTGCATTTTACATGATTTAAAATAATTCAGCTCCATACCTATTGCCGCGTGCACCTCTCCACAGGGCTCCTTTTCAAACAGCTCGTGTCAAGCCCTGGCCGGTGTGGCTCTGGTGGTTGGGCATCGGCCTCTGCACCAACAGTTGGCCGGTTTGATTCCCAGTCAGGACACGTGCCCTGGCCGCGGCCCGATCCCCCGTGGGAGGCGTGTAGGAGGCAGCCGATCGATGTTTCTCTCTCTGCCTCTGCTCGCCCTTCCTCTCTCTAAAAATCAATTTTAAAAATCTAAAAACAACAACAACAAAAACAAACAAGAGAACACCTGTGTCAAAACACAACTAGACTCTCTGTATAGAAAGATAAATGTCCTTGAAGGTATGTAATGTTGAGAAATCCATCCCATAAACCCCCTCCTTCAGGGGTTGTTTCTTGAACATGTATTACACGCGGCTGCTCCGCGGCATCGGGGAGAGGCAGGAAGAAGCGGGGCCTGGGGGAGGAGGTTAGTGCATTTAACATACGTTAGATGCCACCAGAGAGCGTTTTCTGAGAAGAAGCTCAATCATCATCTCATTTGTTTCCTGCGAATCTTGTGAGAAATGCGGGGATCTTCAAAGCCAGGAGTCCTGATAGTAAAACCGTGCCTGCCCAGTGCAAACCGTGGGTTTTGCAGCTGTCCCAGGGGCTGGGGGCTGGAGGCTGGGAGCTGGGGGCTGGAGGCTGGGGGCT